CATAGGTCGGTTTAATGTTTAACTCAAACTCTGATTCACAGCAGCAGCCTTTCTCTGCCCTCTGAGTTTATGACTGAGCTGGAAACCAGTTTCTGTGTTCACTCACCAGAAAAAAATTTCGTTGTGCTATGCATAATGATGATAAAGATTCTTGGCTCTTGACTTGACTCAAGTGGAAGAGCCACCTAGCATAAAGTTAAACATGCTTCTCGTTTGTCCTTTAATAAACAGTTTATAAAGTTTTTCATTCAATACCAAACCTGAACAGGTGTGGACTGTGCATTTGTTTTAGTCTACAACATGTTTTCAGAGCAGGATTTCCATGTCCACCTCACTTTCTTATTTTTACCTCCCCCTGTGGTTTAGTTGATCTATTCATTAAACTCTATAAATAATGTTTCATTCATTGACACTATTTTTGATTGATGCATTTTTTATTTTACCAAAAAAATTCAGATGAGCTAAGGGACTTTTTTTTCCAGCCCTGAGTCATATCTGCAGGCTGTATTCATTCCCAACAACAGGGCAAAGGACAGCAACTTGTATGATTTGTTTCCTGAGAAGCAAAAAGAGTCCAGTCCCAACTCTAAGTACAGGGTGAAAAGTGAAGGAGACTTGGGATTTGAACGTTTTGTTATTGGACACTTTTTAGTGACCTGACAGTGAATCAAACTGAAACTGTAAAGGTTAGGCAGCAAAATCAGATGGAAGAGACTGTGCCCAGCTGTAATTACCGAAAAACAGGTTTAACTAAATGCAAAGGGATATCCCTCTGAAGGAGAGAGACTGAGGAAGAAGCACTCTGCCATTTGAATCTTGTCTTCACAGGGGACAGCAGCTGTACTCACATCTGCAGTTACAATAATCTCATAATATAGCCCGCTGTCCATCTGAATGATGGGGCTTAACAGTGTCTGTGTTGTTGCTCGCACCCCATCTTTGCTCATAACCTACATAAGCAGCGACATTTATGAAGCAGAAGAAAGCATCCCACTGTATTTTGATAAATCTGAGTAATCCAGGAACCTAAACAATGTTTGAATACACAAGTCATATTGTAAACACAGTCCAGACGCTTCGTACTCGGGCAGTTACACATTTTTCTGGGTCACAGACTTCACCGGGTGTTACTGCATCTCACACATCTCACACCCAGTTCAGGTAAACCTGCTCAAAGCTCAGACTTGGCATTTTAATGCACTTTCCATTATTGTATTTCATATTGAATGTGCTGCAGAATAAAACGTAACTGTCTCAAATACTCGGTCTGGACTGTAGCTGTTACATTAATGGAAGCTAAACATTTGCAGTACTTTTACAGCATGTTCACTCTATATTTCCACTGTAATTTGTACTGACCAGTGAACTTCTTAACAATAAAACTACTTCTGTCTTTTTCAACAGGCCCGGTGTCCTACAGTATGACACAGGTGGAGGAGGGTTTGGCTCTGAGCATGCTCATGAGGTTCAGGTTGATCTGGGCCGGGTTGAAGTCCTGTAGGTCGGACACGGGGCTCTGCTGGCCACCCTGGCTCTTCTCCCTGGAAGTGACCCGGTACTGGGCCTTGACATTCCTCAGAGGGTTGTAGTCCGGACTGATGTGGTCTGGACAGCGAAACACCTCTTTGATGATGTAGCCCTGCTGAGACAGCGCCACAAAGCCGTTCTTGAAGGTCAGCATCCTGATGACGGGGGAGTAGACGTACTGAACATACAGAAGGTTTCCTGATGGGAAGAAATGAGGACACGGTCAACCCCAACCACCGAGTGGCAGCAGAACGTCTAGGTTCTGGTCCAGGAGTAAGAAAACCTCATGCCAAATCCCACCGACATGTTCAGCGCATTACTGCAATGTTTTTATTTTGAAAAGGTCAGGCTATGTGACCAAGGGCGGAGGTGAATATGTGGGGAAATTATTTTCCTTGTTGGGCGTTATGTGTCTGTACAGTAAATATCAAGCTATGGCATTTTAGCTTAGCATAAGGGCCACCTCCCAGCACCTCCAAAGCTCAGTAATTACTTTGTCATTCTCTGTGCTGCCTTGTCTTCTTTCGGTGCTGGTGGTTCAGGGGGAAGCATCACCAGTACACTGCTAGCTTTCTGCTGATTCAACCCCCCACAAAACCACACAGTTCTTTTAAATTTAACCTTTCCTCACCTCCTTTGGCTCCCCTCTTTCTCCCAATTTAATAATTTACTCTATTTCATTTTATTTTTCTTTAATGTGTACTGAATACCAGATTGCACAGAGTTTACACACCCTCACACACACAAACTAAATGTCAAAATCCCTGTGTCTCCTTTGTAAATGTTGGCTGATTTTCCTGGTTCGCCCTCAGTGGAAATATGTCCAGACACACCAGTGCGTACCTGTAGCCACATCCCAGACTTTTACGGTTCTGTCCTGAGATCCGGTAAAGACGAACTGGCCGGTGTCGGAGAAAGCAGCAGAGAGGACACCTTCGAAGAAAAAGCCCTGAACATCAACAAAACAGCAGCAGAATACAGACATTAAGCGGCGGGACCATCACAATGCCTAATGTTAATTTCCCATATTTAAAATGTAACTTTCTTTATCATTTAGTTGTACACAGAATATTTATGTACTGTGTCTGTCGACAACTAGAACTGCTCCTGTGACCCATCCATAAATACATAATGAATGACAGTACAACACAAATGTCTTCATATTCACACACTTCAGTTATAAAAGCTTATAACCACAGTGTGTTATAAAGAATTCACTAAATGTTTATATGACTATAAATAATTAGGGAGCTAAAGTAAAAGTTACCAAACAGAAATGCCTGAGTTGTGTTGCTGTCAGGCATTTCAGCTGCAAGAGGAGGTCACTTATAAAACTGGTGAAGTGGTTGTGTGGCGGTTTGTTGCTGTAGGGCTGCAGATGACCCTGACCTTATACTCCATGGTGTGGTCCAGGGCCAGTGGGCTCAGGGCCCACAGCCTCTGCACGGCGTCCTCTGAGCCCACCAGGGCGTGGCTCCCACAGTTACTGGCCGTCACACAGGTCACTCTGCTGCGATGAGACTCCAGATCGGAGCTGCTGTCGCTGCTGAAGTCGTAAAGCTTCACCTCCCCGCAGCTGGTCCCATACAGCAGCCTGCGGTCACACAGCAGCGCCATGGAGGAGATTTGGCCGTGGAGGAGGGACAGGGGGAAACTCTGCAGGGGCCCCTCCACCGTGGGAAAGTTGTCTCTGTTGGTGATCTCGAACAGACGCACAGAGTCCTCGTAGGCCACAGCCACATGCCTCTCCTTGGAGGTGACGGCCAGGCACAGCACCCTGGACAGGCTCTCTGGAGGGGGGATGCAGAGCGTCTCTTGGGTCATAGCTAGTGGGTAGATGAGCACGGTGCCAGAGATCAGACCACAGAGGAGCAAACGTTTGTGCTGAGCTAACTCCAGACAGCAAACCTCTGCAGAGACTGCCAGATGCTCTGAGAGAGAACCTGCAGGGAGACAAGGAACAGTCTGTGGCATTTCCCTTTAGATGAAGTAAAGGATCAGAGCACTTGTCCCACTACTGGGATCAGTAACATCCTGCTGCTTCCTTCTTGACCCCTCTGACACCTGCACTGACTCTATAGCCACACCGACCTGTGAGGTTGTTCCAGCTGATCACTCCTGTCTGGCTCGGCCGCTGGACGTAGAAGACCCGATCTCCATCCTTGGTGATGGCAACGTGGGCGCAGCCTGATGGGATGTGGGCAGTGGGCTTGTGTTGGATGTCGTATTTCAGATTCCACAGACGGATGGAGGCAGCAGCTGTCGAGGCCGAAACCAGGACGCTTTGGTACAGAACAACGGATGTAACAGGAGCGTCTGAATTACACAGTGTGTCCAACAGTGCACCTGTGGTCACCGACCAGATCTGCCAAGGAAACACGTGAATAATGTCGCTGTGAAGTTTGGCTTCTAGGGTTGTTCATTCAAACAAAGACCTGTAGCTCTTGGGATTTAGAATGCTGGAGTTGTATAACGCTACACTGACTGAGATGTACAGATGTGCCTTTATTTGAGCCCAGGTCGTAGTGTCCGTGAAATTACTGGATATGTATTCTAGGTTAAGTTTGGTTTGGTGGAGCATCCTTTAGTTATAGGCCTAGGCTGAGTGCCGTCCCATGATGCTGAACTCCTCTCCTCTCCACCCATCTATATGCCACCATTACCTGTCACTAACTTTGTGTCTCCTCCCTCCTGTAGTGTGTCCTCTCTCTCTCCCTGTACCGTTCTGCAGGTAGCCCTGGCCCTGGAGCTCTGTCGGCCTCTTACTTGTATGAGGTGGTCGGCGGTCCCAGAGGCGAGCACTCTGCAGTCTGAGGAGATGCAAGCGGACAGAACATCGTCATCGTGATGGAGGTCGAGGAATCTGTCCAGAGAGTCTGTGTCGATGTTGAAGAGGCTCAGAGTGAGCTCGCTTCCTGCAGACACAAACACCCATCAACTGGAGGACTCGCACTCTGAGCAGATTTACATGCAAACCTGGTTCCTCTGTGCAGCTAACTGCACAGTACAGGTGCACATCCTGCAGTGACATATAACCTGCTTGGGAACCATGGCCCGTTTATTTCAAACCCCTCTCCTACAAACTGCATTGCAATTCTGTTCAGTACAACAACAAATGACACTCACCAGGAGAAACCTCACAATCTAGTTTCTCAGAGTTCCACAGTGCTGACAAAAAAACAACAACCCCTGTTTACTGCAGACTCATTGCTCCGGATGATACTGTTGCCACCTGCATGTGATCAAACTCGACTAAAGGTCTGACACCACTTTCACCTTTCAAAATGTAAAACTCCTCAGTGATAATCACTCAAAATGTTGTCACAGAACAGCTCAATTGTACAGTCTCATTGTTTTTACACATGAGCATGAGTCATGTAAGAAATACGACTAGATTACAGATCATTTACATGTTTTATTCCCACTCATCTTTTAAAATTAAAAGCAGCCATATTTGTCACTAGAAATTGCCTAAAATATTGAAAATTGAATTTTTAAATCAAACCAGTTTGTAGTTTACAGGGTTAGATAAGAAACAGCTGATTTTCTGACATATAAGGCTTAATACTGAATTTGCTGCTCTGAAAATTTGTATGAATTGAAAGTAATACCAAGTAATTCCACAACCAGAGGTGTGAGCCTTTCACACTAAGGTGCTACGTATGCAGCGTGATAAACACAGTTGGTATCAGCAGAGTCGTACCTGCTAACAGAATCTTTTCATCGACGTTAACTGACAGTAACGACGGAGCCTGAGGAAACTCGACAGCGGTCTGTTTGCCTGTTCTGCAGATCTGCCAACAGGAAGGTCAACATCATAATCACATGTAACACTAGTGAAAACAACCATGTTCAAAATCAGGCGTCGGTCTGGCTCTACCTGCAGCTCCGTCCTGGTGGTTCTGTTTTCATTCCGCTACAGCATTTTTATCTTAGTATGATGATATTCAACTTAATATACGATTACGAAGTATGAGTAACATGTCTGACAGACGTACCTGATAGAGGAAGCCTTCTTTAGAGGCCACGATCACCTTTCCTCGTTTTGGTAAGGCCACAGATCTAACGCCAGTCAAACACCTGTGTGAGTTTTCTAGCTGAGTCTCCACAGTCGGAGTTCCATTGATGGGATCAGATATTCTGACCAGACCAAACTGTGACAGAGAAACCACAGACTGATCCAGAACTCCCAGAACCAGTGAGCCTTCACCAGTGGTGCTGCTGTTGACGAGTGCAGCCCCGTCCAAATTCCACATCTTCACCTGGAACGACAAGTGAAAGCCTTGTTAAAAGAAGCAGGCCCTCCCTCTCCTTTATGAACTCTGTGGATGGACATGTACAGAGCACACTGTAAAACAGGATCCAGGAATTTAGTGAAATCAACTTTTCTTTTCTTCTTCACTTCCAGTCAAAATGTTCGGGGACAAGTTCCCACTGAACTGAATGGGAACATCAGCTCTCGTTTATTTGCGCATGTATGTAAACTGGAACATAACTTGCCTGAAACCAGACTTGTATCACAGTTTTTCTTTGGTTTTAAATAGATATTTAAATGTTTTAAAATTAGACTAATGCATAGAAGGTAGCAGAGGCAGTGACTGAGGTAGCACTGACAGTACCTGTGTCCTGGTGTAAACACACAGCAGCTGCCTGTGTTCACACAGGTGGAGGTGTACTGATGAAAGGGCGGAGTCCAAAGATACGGCCTCCTGGATGCATAGCAGCTGTTGGCCGCTCATAAGACTCCACCTCCTCAGAGAGCCATCAGTGGCGAGTGAGAGGCAGTGAGAGGAGCTGTCAGTCACCTTAACAGACAGGACTGCAGCTACACCACACAGGAAATCATTATTAATCTTATTCATATTTATTTATTTGTTTACTGATCACCTCAGACTGACCTGTGTGTCCCAGCAGAGTGTGTATGAGCTGCTGGTCCCTGAGGCTCCACACTGCCACCCCACCATCATCTGAACCTGCAACCAGAAGCCCCGCCTCCACGCTGATGTCCATACAGAGAACACCTGAAAACATGGCGGCAGGTGAGCCTGCTGCTGCTGCATCTGTTACAGCTAACTAACATCCAAAACTCAGAAGTATTCAGTCACACTCAACCTGCTCCTGTGTTTTTACTATAAAACATTTACTTCAAGGTGTAAAATAACTTGCAGAAATGGTTTTATTTGTTTACAGTGTTTGACAAACCCCCATCAATTAAAACTAGGACAAAGGGTTTCATCATTCACTATTTCTATCAGTGCAAGTACATATGACACAGTATGCATTCAGACACACTAATCAACAGATTAATTGATTAAAAATAGTTGCTAGTTGTGGCCTTATTTGTCATTTTTTTCACAGTTTTGGAGAGAAAAATGTCAGAACCAATGAATCAAACAGTTGCAGGTTATGTGTCTGTCACTGGACTAATTGATTAACCAGCTAATTGTTTCAGCTCTGAGTGTGATGTTAATGGTTCTGACCTCCCTGCAGTCCACTCAGCGTGTGCTGCAGCGCCCCTCCAGGCTGCTGCAGGAAACTGCACTTTGGGATGAGGATCGGCTCCGGACACGTCAGTAACCACTCGCTGCATTGGCTACAGAGCTGGCCAATCACAGAGGGGAAGGCCGTGGCCAGTGAGGACAGTCTGGCTAACAGCTCAGTGTAGAACAGAGACATGTCTGGAAGAAGAAGGGCCAAGTAAATGGCTGCATGCGTTGACTGGTAACGCACCATTTCCATTCGTTTATTATTTTAGGAATCATTTTTGGTCTAAATGCTGTGTCACCCCCACAATATTATTATTATTAATTGTGATATTTGGGATTATATGGAATGAAAATTGCTGAGACAACAAAACTGACCCATGTGACCATGCAGGAAGTCCAGACTGGGTTTGATCAGGACCAGAGCATCTCGGATCAATGTGGTCTCAGTGCAATCCATATACTGGGAGCACTGGTCCAGGTCATGGATCACACTGGACACCCCACACACCCTGCTCTTACAGTACAGCCACTCAGCACTCCCTGAAAGACAACACACAGTAATCTGCTCTGTTGCTTCGGGTTGACAGGAGCTCATTCTAGCATTAATATGCTTGGTGTGTGGTGGCAGTGATTGAGCTTTAACATTATACTGTCTCCTCCCATGTCTTACCAATAATCTCCTGTCGCAGTTCCTCCCACAGACCGGCATGCAGCAGGTGATAGGGCAGCTCCTGCAGCTTCCTGATATTAGCCAGTCCTGGAGCAAACCAGAGTGGCTGGGGAGGGACCTGTAACACCACACAACCAATCATAGTACAACATAAAAAATAAAATGTTTGTTTTATTCTGTACAGTGTAAAGATGAAGGATATCTCAACAAGTGTAATAAACGTTGCATTCATCACATCCATAATATGAAGGTGTTGGGCAGAACAAACAATATCCTGATGATTTCTCTGTTTTTAGATCCTGAAAGCTGTAGCAGACTTTGACTACTTGCCAGATTGTCTAGTATCTGAAGCCCACACCTTTCCAAATCAGGTTTCAGTCCTTCTGTTAGTAACTATCAGCTTGTCTCACAATTCCCTTTTTTCACCGAGGTCACAGAAAAAGTAATCTATACCAAACCGACATTATATGTAGAAAATAGCAGTTTGAATGCCTAAAGTCCTGCCTCTCGGACAGTGACTTTTCTGTGGAACTTGGTGGCTTTATTTCCTGTGTCAAAACTTGACTGTGGGGCACCTCAAGGTTCATTACTGGGCCCCATTCCTTTTCTGTTTACATGCCCCCCTTGCTTAAATAATTAGCAGACAGCATATTGCTTCACTTTTATGCAGATGATACAAAATTATACTGTATCTTCCTCTAAATCTTACTGATTTCTGTAGTCCAAGTACCTAAAAGACTGCACTGAAGATTTTAAATGTTGGATATCTTGTCCCACCCACCCTGACAGTTAAAATAATTAGCTTGACTCAAAACCACCTCACAGAAATTTCAAAAACAAGTTCATTTCATTAGGTAAAGGTTAAAGGGCACATTGGAATTGTTGGTACCTTTCTGTCGGAGAGGAGCAGCGAGAGACTCGGCAGAGCCACTGGCTTCAGTTTCCCCGACCAACGACCCATGAAGTACTCAGCCAGTATCTTGAGGCTCCGCCCCCGTCGTGCTGTGGTCAGATAGCGTGTTGAAACCGCCTCAACCAGATGCCTGCAAACACAGAGAGATCATGTCTGTGACTTTAATCTTGCGTGATTATTTGTCTGAAGACTGTTTTTTACCGGCTGCTGAAGGTGATGGCAGCGATCCCGCCCACCCAGCGCTCCTCCAGCTGGTCCTTCATGTCCCATCTGAGCCGAGCCCAGAGGAGGGGGGGCAGCCGGATCAATGACGGCGTTGGAGGTAGTGAGAATTTATACACCTCTCTGATGACATCATCATCCAGGGACAGGACGTCACGCAGCTCAGCCTCCAGCAGACCCTCCCTGTGGAGTCACGATGTGCTGGTGATTGGCTGTGGCAGACTGTTTTTTAAACTGTATTTTTAAATTTGATTTTTGATGGATTGGACACATTGAATCAGGACTGTTTCTGGGCATTTTGTTGCCCTAGGTGAAACCGCTGCTGACCTCCCTGAGGTGACTGAATGTTTTATTAGGAAAATGTAATTTATTTTTACTTTTATGGCTTATTTGGCAGAGAAAATACACAATGCAATTAATGTGCAAGATAAAGCTAAAAGTTAATTTTCATCTGTGGTCCCTGGGTGGAGGCCACCAGGGATACACTGGTTCCATAGGTCTAGTTACCAGATAATCGTGGGTTGTAAAGTTCCAGCTTCTCAAATGTCAGGACTTTTTGGTGATGTATCACAGTAAGGTAAATATCTTTGGATTTTATGCTGTTTGTTGGTTACAGAAGACATTTAATAGGGCCAAAAACTATAAAGGGAATTTTAAATAGACAAAACAATAGATTGGTTAATTGAGAAAATAATTGGCCGATTAGTCCATAAGTTACTGAAAATAGCATTTAGTTGCTGCTGTAATTATGATTGACTAATATTTTAAGTGTTTTTGGAAAATGGTGTTATCGTCCTTACAAACTGTATGTGTGATTGAGGCCTCACCTTGCCAAAGCGATGTACGACAAGGCTGATCCCACCAGCTCCTTCCCATGTTTCTCCTCCAGCATCAGGAAGAGCTGTGACATCACTTCTTGTGTACTGGCACCCAGGTGTATCTCTGTGGGTGGGGTGAAGGAGGTCCAGCGTTTGGCTGCCGATAGGATCAGTCTGAGATGGAGAGGACAGCCAGTCGCCTCAAAGCTCTGCAGCACGGTGTTGCTCTGCTCAGGGGTCAACATTCGCTGTGACACTCGCAGGCTTGACTCCATGATATGTTTCCCTTCCTCACGAGACAAACGCTCCACCTCAAAGAAACTCTCCAAGGTCTCCAACTTCAGCCGTATGTTAGCAAACGCCTCGCTGTTAGTATCCATAGAGACCACCAGGTGGATGTTGGGCGGAACGTCGGCAGGCAGCCAGCGGAGTTTGTGGGCATGATGCTGGTCTGAGAGCTGATCCAGAGCATCCAGGATGATGAGCAGAGTGTTGCCCTGCTGGGACACCTCAGCAAGGATGTTTCTGAAGAACCTGAGCAGCTCCAGGTGAGTGTTGGCTGTGAGTGGGGAGGGTGGAGACAAACCGCACGCCAGGCAGATCTGAAGGCAGATGCTATACAGGACATAGTCAACGTCCAGTCTCTGAGGATGTCGAGCTGACAGCAGCCTGATCGCTACTACTGATCCGGTATCTAGGACGCCTCGCATCTCCTGCGCCAATTTGCACAGCACGGCTGTCTTACCGATCCCAGCAGCCCCATGGACCACCAGCGGCTTGTGATTGATGTTGGTGGACTCCCACATGGCAAGACAGAGCTTACCCAGAAGCCCCTCTCTACCATGGAGGCCTCTGCACAGCTCCTCACTCATGGCGATGTGCCATCCAACCTCTTCAACCATCCGCTTTGACATTTCCCCCTTTTCTTCCTCAATGCCTCCCCAGATCTTCCTCTGCCCCCCTCCTGCTGGAGAATCAACCACCGCTTCGATCCGGGACTTCATCTGTGATACAAACTGCTCACAGATGCCGTCCAGGTACTGAGCGTGCTCCTTGCGTTTGGGGTCAATGCTCCCTTTGGTGAGCTCCACACTGTGCAGGTTGAGGATCTTCTGTGATGTGGCATAGAGCCGAGACTTGAGGCCGGCGAGGAGTCCCTGAGCTTCTGCATCCAGCAGCCCATTGGTGGCCACATCCATGTACTTGGCAAAACGTTTGGGACCATCCTTCACCTTCTGTCGGGGAGTCTCTCGGACAAAGATCAGAGCAGACTGTTCAGCATCGTCCTTCCACAAGCCCTGCTCAAACTCCCGCTCTGTGTCTGTGGAGCAGGAGGAGACAGATTTCACAAATACTCTCAGGAAACCAACTGTGGGAGATAGCTCTCACTGACATAAACCTACAGATTCCCGATGAGCAGTGCTGATAATTGCGATAATGCATTAACACACCGCCATGTTGGATCAGGGAAGCCTCCTAGTGTATGTGTGTGAAGGCAGGGGTCTGTCACAGTTAAAATCATCATAACTCACTAAACTAATTTTCCAGCTGTTTGGTTTGTTACAAATGTCAGAACTGTGTTTGATACAGGATACTTGGTTAAGTGTGGGGTCACCTCTGTTTCTCCAGTAGTTATCAATCTAATCCAACAGGTGAACACATCTCATTCATTCAGAGCTGTGTTCCCACAGATTTTACACCTATCAGCTGCTCTGCTTTCACTCTTTACTTCACTGCTGCAGAAAAGATGGAACTTTATCTGTTACAGTGTTTTATTTTTTCTGACTTTTTCGTTTGTTTTCCCTCTGGCAATTTACTTCCTAGCTCTGTACCATTTAAGGTCATTCACTGGACTTGCAGCTCCTTAAATGTCAAAAGAAAAACTGGAAAAGTGGAGATGACCCCTCTCATAAGCCAGAAGTGGAACATATGCATATGTCCTGTTTCTGTGGACGTCTCTGACCTGATGTGTAGAAGAGCTGTTTCTGCTTGGCAGTGATGTCCCCTGCAGCCTCGGCATCAGTGGCAGCAGATCGTAGGAGCTGCAGCAGTTGAGTCTCTGTTGAACGCCAGAGCGAGACATTGTTGTCATGCTGAGGCCGATTCTCAGGTTGAAGGTCGCCATAGTGGGGGAAGTGAGCTGTGACTGGCTGAAGGATGTAGGTTGGTGGGTCAGCGTTGTCATCTTTTAAGAACCACTGATTCAGCTGATTGGTGCCTTCAGGGTTTTTGGACAGTTTAGACAAAAGAACCTCAAACTGTTTCTCCGGGACAAGGCGCGGAAGAGCTCGGTGGCCATACCGGTTCCCCAGCAGAGCCTTTGGAGCCGAGGCAGAAGAAATAGAAATGATAATTGCTGATTTAATTCTTTTACACATGCCTTGAATTTTACTCCAGCAGTCTGATAAAAAAAAAAACACTTTACCATCCAAAGCACAGAACATAGTTGCTTTTTAACCTTCGTACTGATTTTGTTGAACGATTCCTCCTAAAGGAAAATCCATGCAAAAGACAAAGGACTTGTCTCCATACTTGTCCTCTTAGATCTCAGTGCTGCTTTTGACACCATTGATCACAGCATCTTACTGCAAAGACTTGAACATGTTATTGGGATTAAAGGAACTGCGCTAAGTTGGTTCAAATCTTATTTATCAGAAAGATTTCAATTTTTTCATGTTGATGACAAATGTTCCACACAAACTGAAGTTAGTCACAGCGTTCCACAGGGCTCTGTGTTAGGTCCAATTCTCTTCACTTTATACATGCTCCCTTTAGGCAATATTATCAGGAAGCACAACATAAATTTCCATTGCTATGCAGATGATACTCAGTTATATTTATCTATGAAGCCAAATGAATCAGGTCAGCTGGTCAAACTTCAAGCATGTCTTAAAGACATAAAGGCCTGGATGACCTGCAACTTCTTACTTCTAAACTCTGACAAAACTGAAGTTATTGTGCTTGGGCCTGAAAACCTTAGAAATCTGCTGTCTAATCATATACAGTGGGTACGGAAAGTATTCGGACCCCCTTAAATTTTCCACTCTTTGTTATATTGCAGCCATATGCTAAAATCATTTAAGTTCATTTTTTTCCTCATTAATGTACACACAGCACCCCATATTGAATATCTATAATATCAT